TCCTCCTACGTGTCGTCGTCGTCGTCGTCTCGTACGTTACTTTACGTTTGTTCGGTAGGTAGTAGGTAAGTAATAGTATATTTTGTGTGTGTGTGTGTGTGTGTGTGTGTGTGTGTGTGTGTGTGTGTGTGTGTGTGTGTGTGTGTGTGTGTGTGTGTGCGTGCATATTACTGTATACCTATCATTGCAGGTATTTAGAGGTGGAATGGGAAGTTAAAAAAGGAAGCAAAAGAAGTTTTTCCAAAGATGTTATGAAAGGCTCTAATCCAAAAGTACCCCAGCAAAACAACTTCAGTGATTGTGGTGTTTACATATTGCAGTATGTAGAGAGCTTTTTTGAGGTGAGTTTCAGTTTGTTGGATCTCATTTAATAAATAATAAAATGGTGTGTTTGACCTTATGTTAGTGTAAAAAACACAACAAGCAAATAATTTGAAGAGATTGAAAACTGTCATTTTAAGAATTATTTCAGGGAGTAAAAACTCTTAAGAGTATTTTTGAAGTCATAAAAAAAGACTGTATACTCCATCAAACCTAGGGCTTGTTGACCTCATTCCTTACCACTGATCAGTTATTCGTCTCCACTGCCTCTTTCCACCTTAGGAAATTTCTCCCATGATTTGGGCTATCTCTTACCCTTTTTTTCCTCCCCTTCACAGATATGTTTCTGGACAACACTTATATTCACTGTCTTCCTTTCCACAAATCTCACTTGCTTCTTAGATCTGCCTTAACCCTCACCCTTATGTTGAAATTGTTCCTGACTCCCAGCTCCATTTGACAGTGTTGATCATTCCTTCCTCATAACACTCTCTTCCTTTGACTTCTGAGATGCAGTACGAGGCATACGTCTCGGACATTCTTTACAGTTATCTCAACTGCTTCTTCCTCATCTGCCATCCATTGTGCCAGAAGTCCTATGAATTCTATCACTTAATGTCAGATATATTCAGTTCTTTACCCCTGCTACTACTTTCTAAGTCCAGGTTCTAGTGTCACTGTTCCAAACTGCTGCACCAACATCTAACTAGGCCTTTTGAGTTGTATTTTTCAATTCTTTTCCCAGGACCCAGATCGAATCAGGTCACCTCTCTTCTTTAAATCTTATAGTGGTTTTCTGTTGCCCTTGAGTTATGACCAGGATCCTTCATGTAGCCTGCATGGTCTAACTACCGTCCAAGCTTCTAGCCTCATTTCTACCATTCTTACTGTTTAGTGTTCTACGTAGCAGCCACCTGAATGTCATTCAGCTTCCCATACTGTGTCATGTTCTCTCTTGCCTCCAGGCCTTGATACATATTTTCTTACCTGGAATACTCTTCCCTATTGCTTCCATCATTCCGTATTTGGCCAACTTCATTCTTCAGGTCTTAGCACAAACATCACTTCTTCTTGGAATTGTGTTCAGCCCTCAGATATGTATTCCCATAGGACTGTCTGCTTCCCGTGTCTTAATACTTGTCATAGTCATTGTTTTAATTGTTGAGTTGTCTGTCTGTCTACACTGGGGTCAGCAGACCTTTTTCTAATGGGCCAGGCAGTAAATATTTTAGGCTTTATAGCCACACAGTCTCTACTCTTAGTTCTGCTATTATGGCATTTGAAAGCATCCACAGACAGCATGTAAATGAGTTAGTGACTGTGCTCCAGTAAGGCTTTATTTATAAAAACAGGCAGTAGGCAGAATTTGGCCTGCTAGCTGTAGTTTGCTGACCCCTGATCTAGACTCTAAGGTCTGAAAGTAGAAACTGCCTTGCATCTCCAGTGCCTAGCACAGTGCCTGGCACGTGATAATGAGTAAGATGAGTAAATACTTATTAAATGTTATTGATTTTATTCATTTTAACTCTGGAATGCTTTTGTGATTGAAACTAAAATATTATTATAATTTTCTAATGTACATTCAATATTTTTATTTCCAAGAATCCAATTCTTAGTTTTGAACTACCTATGAATTTGGCAAACTGGTTTCCTCCTCCAAGAATGAGAACAAAAAGAGAAGAAATACGAAACATAATTCTGAAGCTGCAGGAAGATCAGAGCAAAGAGAAGAAGAAGCATAAGGACACTTACTCAACAGAAACGTCTTTAGGCGAGGGAACAGAACAATATGTCAATAGCATCTCAGATTGACCACTTCTGATGCTTGTCAGTATTGCCTTCAGAGACTGAGTGACTTTCAACTTTGGGTATAGACAGTAAAGAACTGAAGTGCTCTCTACTCAGAGTGATTTGGAAATGTTAATGCTTGTATAAATGTCATATAATTAATTTCCAATGGAGTATGTATTAAGTAAAAGTCTGTAAATATGTTAATGAGGCCAATTTTTCCAGCATTTATAATTATTTTTTTCACTTGTTAGGAAGCTTTTGTTATGTATTTTCTGTTAATAGTACTTAAAACTGCAACTTCTAAACACAAAATAAATAAAAAGAAAATATTTATAGGAGGAAATGATTAATTTGATATTCTTTAGTGAAATTGTATTCAATCTTCAGTGGGTATGATATATTTCATGGGAATATTCGAGTAGCAATGATAGTCTTTTGACCTTTGCATTTGTTCTAAAATAACTTGAAATATGAAACTAAGATTAAATCAAAGGCATTTTGAATAAGAAAGACATCTTCATATGCTTGTGTAGCAGAAAAAAAGTAACAGCTTTTTAATTCATACACTCCATTGTGCTTAGAGAACTGGGCCCCCAAATGTAATAAATATTTATAATTTTATTCAAATATTTAAGGAGTATTTAGAGCAATTCAAAGAAAAATAACTGAATTATACTACTAAATAATAACTATACTTTATACATTATTGTCAAGTACATTTCTGAAGATGTCAAAGGCTCAGGTTAAAACTATTTTGGTAAGTACAGCTTCAGTTTCAAATATCCCATGTTACCTTTCCCTATTATAGCTTAAAGTATCTACAACCTGTGTGATATAGTTAACTGAGAAACATTTTTAACCTGTGAACACAGGAATTTAAATAGGAATTTACTATTTTTTGTAATGACTTTTGCTATTTTTTCATTGCTTATTTTGTTCTTGTTATTTTGATAAACAAATTATCAGATTTTTTGCGCCTGAGTTTTTTAGTGTAAATTATTTTTACAAGTGAAAGTAGTCTTTAGTCAGTTGCATAATACAGAAAAAAAATCTCCTACCTTGAATTCCCCTTTAAAATATTAAAATGTGATGGTTTTGATGACAAATTTGGAACTCATGTAGGAATATTGCACATATCTGCCAAAACTATTATTTTCAAATGAAATGTTACACATTTCTTTCGAATTAACTTTGAGACTTGAAATTATATATTTTAAAAATCTTTTTTTGTTGTTAAATAATTTAAAGTGCACATATAAAAAACATATTTGAAAATAAACAGAAGACCATTTTAAATATAATTATGTTTTAATCTTGCCATTTCTGGCATTGCAACCAACATTTTAGGCTATTTTCCTGGATTTAATAAAGTCCATGGATGTGTTTGGCGTGGATTGGAGGTGTTGTTAACAACAACCAAAAAAAAAAAACATATTTAGACACACTCATTAAGGAAAACATTAAAATGTAAGCTTAAGGAATATCACCATTAGTGGTATTGATTATGGATTTGTTACTTTGAACCATCTTTTTTTATTTATAACTTACATTATTTCTTTTTTAGGAATACCCTAGAGCTCTTAACTCAGGTATGAAAAACACAAGACTTTAGTTTTATTTTTTACTGAATATGGACCAAAAAAAATGGAATTTTTTTTAAAACCTGATAGCAGAAAACAAAATTGGCATATTTAAATTTTTTTACTGTACTGTATTTTATCAGAAGTTGAAAGTACTGAAAAAAACTATTCTAAAATGCTTACTTGTTTTTGTTTTAATTTCTATTGGTTACATTTTGCACTCTCAATTTTCTATAAGATAAAAAGATAACCTGTCCCTTGGGCCAATTCAGTCAGTCACGTTTTGACATGAGAAATATAGATATGTCTGTCAACGGTCTAGAGACAGAATATCCAGCTATTTGATCATATTTCTCCCACCCCATGTAAAATTCTTTTTTTTAAAGTTATGCTGATGACTTTGCAATACATATTTGAATCTTTGGAGACTGCCAGTGTGAGCTCCAAAATCAGACTTGAGAATCTCTGGTGTATATGCACATTTACTTGACAGTTGTGTTCTCTGGTACTTCTATACGTAGTTTGAAGTAGGTATCAACCTTTTAAATGTATTATGAGTACTTAGAAGTTGTGAAACAGAATTTTAAAGTTTAGAGGTTTGTTACTAGGTGCTGACACTGCATGACGCGTATCTGGTGTCTTAACTCATTAGATAGATCTGCTGTATTTGTTTTCTTGTTGGATAGAATAACAGTTAATCATTTTTAGAGGAGTTTTAGATTACTTGCCATGAAATTTGTATGTGTCTTAGCTCTTGCTAGTTTAGGAACAAAGGTGGTATTCAGCTGGTCCTTTTCCTTTGATGTTGCTAAGACAGCTGAAAACTTAATGATATTATTTCAAGTTCACATAAACCTAGGTCAAGCATAGTAACCTGTGCCTAAACTATTAGTCAATTAAATGTAGGAGGTTTTATTTGAAAGGAAGAAATAATTATCTAAATTATATATTGTTTCAAGTTAACAAAATGAATTCCATATTTTTTCTTTAAAGAAAACTATGATCTCTGAAGACTGTAAGATAAAAAGAATAACAGTTTTAATTTCCCAGAAATTAAAAAAAAATTGTACTTAAAGTCTCAGACAATTCACTGAATAGGAATAATAAAGAATATATTTTAATATATTACATATGGTCAAGAGTTGGTGGAGTAAAACTACTGGGATATAGCAACAGAAGGGATAACTCGGTTAGAAGAAACAACCCTTAAGGGAGGAGGGTAGTGCGGGGCTGTGTATCTAGAAGAGGAACAGATAAAAAGGTTGCTCTGTAGATTGCATTCAGGACATAAGGAGGAGGGAGAGATTATGTGGGGAGGATACGTCAGACTGTCTAGCCAAGTGAACCTGAATGGATAGTGAACCAGTAAGACCACAGAACTCACAGAGGCAAGACCAGACTGTATTAGGGAATGTCATCCACTAAAGAATGTTCTAGAACAGTCAGCAAGACTTTCTGGTACACTTGTCGTTTTCCTACTCCCAGGAAGAAGAAGAAAGGTTACGAAAACTGCTCTTGTAAACTTAAATTTAACCATAGAGGAAGAATTGATCAAGTGGAAGAAATGTGTACTTTGAGGGAAAATAATCTTACCATCTAAGTTCTGATAAGCCAGATCAAGGAATAATGGTAGAGTGCCCTAAACTGCTGTTAGGAGAATCAGAGTGCAGTGTACTCAGAGGAAAATACATAGACCCTTGGCCTGAAAGAGAAAGAAAAAGACTTGAAAGCTTGGAGGTCTTTACTGTCTTTATCACAGACAACAGTTACGTTGTACTTACTGCAAACGATTACAGTGAGGAGCATATTATCCAAACCAAGGATTTTCTAGAAACGTGCTTCAAAATCATCTGGGGAGCTTTTCAAAATATGCATAACTAGGGCCTCAACCCCGCTGGTGCCATATATTTTCAGATAATTCCTCAAGTAATTCTATTATGCACCTCCCACTGATTTAAAAAGGATCAATATATGTCCCTGGCAGCTTTCAAATTGCTGGTGCCAAAGGTAATAAGGCTTGTCTGCATTTTCATCTCTCAGATGCTTTAAGATACCACTTTACCTCACTCCCCCGACTAAAACCTGATAGGTGTAGTTATTAAATTGCTATTACTAAACTTCTCAGAATTACATAGAAAATTTTTAAAGTACTCAGAGCTTGGAGACTGGCAGATACCTTGTTTTTCAAAAGACAGAAAGTAGATTCTGCAAATTATAAGATAAAATGTCAACTATTGATAAGATTCTAAAATGAATGTATTAAATGGATGACTTGTGAACATTTAATGGTCACCAGGAGTCATGGGACCACTACAACCAAGGTGGTTTTTTATACTTTTACTAGGATTCTGACATCAATGTATAGAATGCAGCCAGACTAGCAATTCTCAAAGTGTCTCTGCTAACTCTAGTTTTGAGATAGTTAAGAGTTCTGTAAAGTTTGTCAAAAATTTAAACCAAGTTAAGCAGATTTCTTGGAGCTTTTAATACGCTAATAAGCAGAATGACCAAGCAAGAGGAAAATACAGAACACAGAATGCTAAATACAGAATCTGGCCATACCCTCCTCCTCCTCTCCTGCACAGGTTCTCTAGACTTCCTTACATGTACTACCCATCAGAAGTCAGAGTTAACTATTTGTGGAGTGTTTGTGAACTGAACTTAATGAGGAGATGCTTCTGAAACTTATCTGAGGCTGGGTATTTTTTTACATCTTATTTTATTAATAGTTGAGTATATAATTTGGAAGCTTGAAAATAAATGACTAGTGTCTTGGGGAAATGAAGTTTCATGAGAATCATTCTTTCACAACCATTGTAATGAAAAAATTTACAAATCTAATTCTTAAATACATGTGGATCCTTCTAGGAAAAAAAACAGATCTGATGACTACTTTTTGTAAGGTCATCAAATCCCCTAAACTCATACACAAGTAGAAATTGTGTGAAAATATGAAAGTGAACTGAAAGGTTATCTGGAGGTTTTTCCTTCTGTTTATACCTGAACCACTGAACTGCCAGCTTGCACCTTACCTGATTTCCACTCCATCAGCCTTTACTGTAGAATTAAATTGAAATAGACTTTACACCTAGAAGCATTTTTTCCTTGTGAAGAAATCTGTGCAAAGAACTACTCTTTATTAATATACTTCCATCCCTCAAATAACTGAAAACAAGTTGTTTAAGCCGGTATAAAACTTACTACATTTATCATAATGAGTTTTATATATGTTGACAGCAGAGAATTTGATCCAAAACAAATTAGATGAAAAGAAATTGATCCTTAAATATTGAATAAATGTTCTGAGCACCTACTTTGTACTTGGTATTGGGGATTTAAAACAGGGAGCCAAACAGATACCATCTTCTCCCCTTATGGAGCTCCTTACAGTATAGTGGAAAGAAAGCTGTTAATCAGCCTCATGAATGAATAATTTTAAATAAGTGCCATGCAGGAAAAGCATAAATTGTATGAAGACAGTATATAGCCTAATCTGGGAAGGTTGGGGACATCTTCCCTGAAGATGTGACATTTGAACTATTGGTGGACATAAGCTGAATAAAGTCTGAGAGGGCAAGAGAACAGGGCTTGTAGGCAGCGCAAAGGCCCTGAGGTAGGGAAATGTGTAACCTGTCCTAAATGATAATAGCCTCATTTATTAGATGTACTGTATGTCAAACATTGTTCTAAGCTTTTTAAATGTATGAATTCATTTATTCTTTACAATGACTCTAAGAGAATATGTACTGTAATTACTCCCGATTCACAGAAGAGCAATCTGAGGTCCAGAGAAATAGTTTCCCCAGCAAGGCTGAGCACCATTTTACCCTAGAAGCTAAGTTAACTTGGCAAGATAAAAGAAGATGAAAATAAACAAGATGTCTGTATTGTTTTAGAGGTGTAGTGTGGCCAAACCTTGATTATTATGGAAACTGGCTGTAGAGGGGGTTTTTGAACTATGTTATCTTTTAGTATGTTTAAACATTTTCATAATTTAAAAAATAAGATTAACGTAGGCCCATGTAAGTGGAGCTCAGAGCA